TCATGGGTTGATAAGCACTTGGATTGATTGCATGTCTTGGTGATTATGAATTGAGTTATGATGAATATTCTAATGCAAATGTCCTTATGGTAAATTTCAAATTCTAACCGGACTTCCAGAACATTATTAAGGTGTATTTGTCAAAATTGGAGAATGGAAAGCATAGTTTAACAATTAGCTGGATTTATAATTTTAAAATACTTTGATAAGCAGTATAAAGGCTTCTCTTTGTACTCTTGCTCAAATTTAAGGTATAGGCCTGCACTTTTAACCTGTCTGACAAGATAGTTGACAGTAAAGACTTTGACATCTTATTCTTATGTGAGACTTTCAATCACATTTGATTATTTTCACTGATCTGATATTTAGAGTTGTGAAGCTTAACCTTAGTTCTCTTATGGGTGTGCTCTTGGAGTATGATGTCAAATGTCTTCCTCCTCACTGATGTCTTTGGAAATCAAAGACAAATCAGGATATGGCATAGGTGATTTAGCTATTCCTTTTATATTAAAAACTAATTTGAAATACTCATGGTTAGTCAGTTAATGATGTAGGAAGTAACCTTACAAGAGTACTACTCCAAAAATTAAAAGTTGGATTCCTTCTATCAGAGGTGGTTAGAGAAGATTTCTCCATCTTTTAATTATTTTCCAGGAAAGATCTGTCTTTGCTAATTGAGAGAAATTTCTTCTATCTTTTTTGACATTTTCTGTGCTGTCCAGTAGAAACAAAAGTGTGAGCTACATATATAACTTTAATTTTTCTAATAATAAAAATGTAAAAAAAGATATGAAATTAGTTTTAATAATATATTTTATTTAACCCAATATATACACGTAACTTCCACATGTAATCAATACAAAAAGTCATCAATGAGATATTTAACTTTTTTTTTCTATGTACTCTGTCTTAGAACTCTGGTATATATTTTACACTACAGCTCATGTCAGTTCAGACTAGTTACATTTCTAGTATTCAATAGCCCCATGTGTCTAGGGGCAAACGTGTGGGACATGGAGCTCTAGAATTTCCAAATGTCCAATGTCAAAAGTTATGGTCTTTCCTGCCAATGCTTTCCTATGACTTTTTATGCTATAGCTTCACTAAGGATAAATTCAAAATTTCTCAGTCATTCTTTGAACAAATCTTAGTTTGAGGTCAATTAAGTTCACAACCCCATCATAGAAAGTGCTACGTACATCATGGCTGAACATCACCACTTTGATCACCTTTGAAGTACTCCCCTTGGGAAGCTAGCAATGGCACCAGTGCCTAGTCCACCTATCAAAGCATTTTTTCTAGCACGAGTTCATGAACTTTATTGTCAGAACTCCTATGAAGACAGCTCTGATGACCATTCCAGAAAAATTGTTCCAAAATTGCTATGAAGGTTGGAGTAGGCACTGGAGTTGGTGTACAGCTTCCCAAGGGGAGTACTTTGAATATAATCAGAGGACAGCTCTGAAGACCATTCCCGAAAGAGTTCCAAAAGTGCTTTGAAGGTTGGACTAGGCGCTGGAGTTAGTGCATAGATTCCCAAAGGAAGTACTTTGAAGGTGACTGTAATGATATTCAACAATGAGGTAGGTAGCACATTTTCTAGGATGAGTTCACAAACTTAGTTGTCCAATCTCACATATCTGTCTGTTTTTACGTGAACCATCTAAGCAGGGAGATATATTAAAATCCGAACCAAACCTTTGTTCAGATCCTTAGTAATATCAACAGGCACTTTAAAGTGCTATCTAGTGCACTCTGAGCAGAATTCACTCTAATTTTAGTAATATAAACAATAACTCATAATTAGGTTCAGAAAAACAGATCACTGCTGTGAAAAATTCAGCTAATCAAGCTGAAAATCTCTCAGAAACCTACAACTCAAAATCCAAGACATTTTAGAAAATTGACCATGAATACATGATAAGATCTTGTAAAACATTTATATAGAAGCAACAGACTCTTATAAAAAATAAAAAGGAAAAAAGACAAAGCAGTAAGCTCAGTAATCAAAATTCATTATCTTTGGGCTTGGTGCCCATAGCACAGTGGTTATGGTGCCAGCCAGGTACACTGAGGATGGCGGGTTCAAAACCAGCCCAGGCCAGCTAAACAACTGAAACAAAAAAATAGCTGGACATTGTGGTGGGCACCAATAGTCCCAGCTACTCAGGAGGCTGAGGCAAGAGAGTCTCTTAAGCCCAAGAGTTCGAGGTTGCTGTGAGCTGTGACATCATAGCACTCTACTGAGGGTGACATAGTGAGACTCTGTCTCAAAAAATAAAAATTATTATCTTTGAATGTGAGCCTTATGGTAACTTGTACTACAGTAAACTCTTTGCCCTTCTATCTTCTCCTGTATTATATCTATTCATATATATTGTGCATTCATGTTTTAAGCTGCTGGCATAGTCAAGTAAAGACTTAAGTGAAAAATCATGTTTTACTTTTCATTTCTTGCAAAGCTCGACATGCTTTAAAAGTATGCACCAGAGGGCAGTGCCTGTGGCTCAAAGGGGTAGGGTGCTGGCCCCATATACCAGAGGTGGCAGGTTCAAACCCAGCCCCAGGCCAAAAAAAATAAATAAATAAGTATGCACAGCAGCAGAATCTTCAACTAGGTATCAGAAACTTTGTTAATACTCACCAGAAGTTTATGAGAATGGTTTTCAATTTCTACAAGAAATCCAAAATATAAGAATTATCCAAAAAAAACTCCATAAGATATATTGAAATTCAATTTCTGTGTGTTGGAGTTTTACTGAAATTCTATTAAACCTATAGGTTAATTTGGGAACAATTACAATCTTTACAAGTTGAGCCTCTCAGTTATTCTCCTGATCGTAGTTTACTCTTTCAGTAAAGTTTCATAGACTTCTACTCTGTATTCCTCAGTAGATTTATCCCTCGATAGTTTCTCCCACTTGCTGCTCTTGTGAATGGAATCTTTTCTTTTTTTCCTGCGAGTTTGGTGGGAGAGAGCAGTGGTTATTGTTGATGTTTGTGGAGGTTATTGATTCTGGCATGTTTACCTTCTTTGATCTCTCTTGAACTTTCTGCCTTGTTCTAACAGTTTGCCATATGATTTTTGGGGGTATTCTTCATAGAATACAAATAATGAAAATTTTGTATTTTTTTGACTTGAATAATTTTTTTTAATTTTGTATTTTTCTTTCTTTCTTTTTTTTTTTTTTTTCTCTCCTCTTTGGATTGCTTTCAACCTCCAGTAAATTATTCAAGAGTAATGGTGGTGAGAATAGGCATCCTTTTCTTGTTCTTTACTTTAATGGGATTGTGTCAAGTATTTCACCATTAAATCTAAACCTTACTTAAATATGTTTCTTATAAGTCTCCATGGTGGACACATTCTAAAAAGTTCCTATCTTCTCTCCCATACATGAGTCACACTTTTGTGTAATCTCTATTCCTTGAGTATGGTAGCACCTGTGACTTGCTTCTTACCAAGAGAAAATGGCAAATGTGATGGGCTTTTTCCCCCATGGTTATGTTACATTATATAAGCCTCCATCTTTGCAGACTGTGGAGAAGATTCTCCTGCTGGCCTTGAAGCAATGTTGTGATCTGCCTATGAAGAGGGCTTGGCAGGGTGCTACTGCCAAGGCAGCCTCTAGGATGTGAGGTCAGACTCCAATCTCCAGGCCCTCAGTCTTACAATAGCAGAAAAATGAATTCTAACAACAACTTGAATGGGCTTAGAAGCTAATTCTTCCTTAGTTGTGCCTCCAGATGAGAACACAGCCTAAAGTGCAGCCTTCTGATGAAGGCTGGGACCTAGTTAAGCTGTTCACAGACTCCTGATCTATGGAACATGTCAGATGATATATGTTTCTTAAGTTGTTAAATTTGTGGCAGTTTGTTATAGGAACAATAGAAAACTAATATAATCAGTCCACTTTGTCAAGATAAGCAAATTTTCTATTATTCCTACTCTGCTAAGATCTCCTTTTTTTTTTTAAAGTAGGAATGGCAACTGAATTTTTATCAAATATCTTTTTGATTTTTAATTTTACTTCATTTTAAGATTAGAAGTCAGCAAATGTTTTTCAAAAAGGTCCAGGTACTAAATATTTTAGGCTTGCAGGCCCTTCAGTCTTTGGCAGAAGTATTCAATTCTGCTATTAGCAGAAATATCCACAGCCAACATGTAAATGAAGGAGCACTGCTGTGTTCCAATAAACTATCTTTACAAAATCCAGTGGCTGCCCAGACTGGACCTATGGGTCTTAGCTTGCTGCCCTCTGATTAAGATTATCACATTACTTTTTTGGCTCAGCACCTGTGGCTCAAGTAGCTAAGGCACCAGTCACATACACCTGAGCTGGCAGGTT